ATAAGCCGTCATTAATTTCAAACCACGAATAATAACCCAGAAGCTTATAGCATTAATCATTAATTTCAAAAATAATATCCTTCTTCCTTAGAGATTTAGAATATTTATTTAATTATTTTCTTTATTTCTACAGATTTTTCAAATTGATTTTTTAGTTTAAATCACAAATCAAATATTTATTTTGTTTTCCGTATTAATAATAATTTTTATTTTTAATTTTAATTTAAATCATAAACCAAATTTTTGTTATAATAAAAAAAGTATTATAAAAAAAATTAAATCAGAAATCAAAATTTTATTTAATTTTTTTATATTAAATCACAAACCCAGAACTCAGATGCTTCTTGGTTTAACCGCGCTTATAATACCATTCTTGCAAATTAAAATTGTGTTTGTGAGAAATAAAATATATCAAATTAGATGTCATTGCGTAGATCTCGAAAAGTTATGTGGAATCAAAAAAAGAATTACATGAATTGGATACCCGAGTCAAAAGTTATGGCCTTCAGAAGTTTTATGATTAAATTATTATTTTTTTGGAAAAAAAATGACACGTGTCAACCTTAGGTGAGAGACGCTCCATTGAGGCGTCTTCCCTCAGTTGAGAGACGCCTACATGAGGCGTCACATGTGACGCCCAAAAAAAGTGTCACATTGTACAATAGATTCGTAATTATTTTCAAAACTGCAATAAATACGTAATTATTTAATAAAAATGCAATAATTAAATTTTTTTGCCATGCTCACCAGAACGAGTGTCTCTCTCTCTTTGCTCGCAAGTAACTGTCACTTGCAGACACAAAAATGCGCAGCGCAGTAGAGTGTATATAAAGCAGTAGTAGTAGTACAAGTATTGCAAAAGACATACATAGAGAGAGATGGTTAATATGCTTTTTGAAGTGATATGATAGGAATACAAAAAGTTGGGGAATGAGTGAGTAAAAAAGGTGAATGGAAATTGCAACATGCATTACAAACATATCAGCAGCACATGAGATTTTATTTAGTAGCAATCGGAGGGCTGAGACAAGCGATTAGGTAAAACGTGAATGCATGAATATAGCATGCATTGTTTTATACAAGTAATTGCAAGAAGGGTCTTAACGGGCCGAGCCGAGCTTTAGTCTTAAATTAAGTCTGTATTTAAATGTGTCAGCCTGATCAAGCTTGTTACCTGTCATAAATATTATTATCGGTTTGTGGCATTACTTATTTACAAAAAAATAAAAGCTTGGTTTAGCTTGTAAGCCTGTTTAAAAAAATTAAAATAACAAAAATTTATCTAAACAGAATATACAATCAACAACACTAGTAATTCCATAAATATCATAAATTCAATATATATCAACGTAATATAGAACAAAATCATTCAAAAAGTCTATTTAACCAATAAAATGGATTGAGGAGAAAGATAGGCCATTACAAGTAGTATAAAAAATATTAAAATAAAAAAATAATATACTAGTCCAGCCTGAGAGGCTCTACGGCCGAGCTTTTGAATTGAAGCCTGATACCTTTTTATTAAACGAGCTTTTATACAATTTCAAACTTGATGCCAACAATCAATTTTAGACATGTAAGCCTAGGCCTTCACGAGCCGAGCCAAATGCCCCTGAAAGGTCCCATAGCTCGTTAATTAGCACCCCTAATTGCAAACATGTGGCAATAATACCGTTGATTATAAACTAAAATAAACACATACTTTAAATAAATAGAGCTTTGGTCTAGGGGTCATTAACTTAGCAATACGTTTTTATTTTTTAATTCCGACCCATGTTTGATTTTAAATCTCAAATACACCAAAAATCCGTAGCTCTAATTTTATTTTAATTTTTACAATGTTGATCATTCAGCTCTGAAAACCCTTAACTAAAAGTAATAATTATAAACCTTTTTTTTTCATTTATTATTTTTGGATAAAAAATGAGAGAGAAAATGAACAAAATTATTCTTCTATTTCTCAAATGTAATAAATGTAAATTGTTTTAGGGATAAGTTATTCTATCTATCTTCTTTTTTTGCTTACCTTTGCCTACCTTTGTCTGACATCAATACTCATGATTATGACTCCAAACTTGGTTTACTAGTCCTAGATATTATTCTAGGAATATTCATACTCTTATTATAATTTTTCGGGGTACTTCACCAGTAGACATGCACTTATACCGTGAAGCAAAACCGATATCTGCACTTTTCGTCAAAAAAGCGACTTTAAGGGTTGTTCAACCCTTATATTAATTATTTAAGTCCTCTCATAATTATTCAAGGTCAATTATGAAATTATTTCTTAAACTTAAAATTAATTATTTAAATTTCTAATTTACCGGTGCGGGTTCTTACAAATTTTATCTTTCATTGTCCAATTAAAGCATAAAAGTGAATTAGTGATTGAAACTATAGTCCTCGTGGAAATTATCTCGTACTCACGTAGTCTTTATTACTTTTACGACCAGTGCACTTGCCGAAGTCGCAACAAAATTTTGACGTCGTTGCTGGAGATAAAACCCAGATCACCTGCGCGACAAGCGAGAATACTCACCACTATACTACAACGACTAACTAGAACGACTAACCATCATTTCAGTTTTCTTTTATTTCTTTTATTTTTATTTTCTTTTAGTATTTTTATTTTCATTATCTGACATGGGCATTGAGATAACTCTAATACATTTCATGCACTTTGACGACTGATGATTCTTGTTTATTTTATTTTGTTTCACAGTCGGACTTTTTTTTTCTGATTTTTCGCTATTTTAGATTTAAATTAATTGCTGGGAACAACAAAATTTAAATCTGAGAATGGGTAACACGATTCATCAGGAACTACTCTATTTGGTTGGAAGTAATTCATAAGTATATACAGAACATCTGGCTAGATCAGAGAAATATCTCAATCTTTTTATTTTTATTTTTATTTTTATTTTTAGAGTAATTTAATTGAATTTTTTTTATTTTGTTCAAGTATAGAGTCCACCATCTCCATTATCATGATTTTATTGAAAAACAAATTACTCAGCGTAAGTGCATGTATAAACAATTAACAGGAAGTTAATTAGTATCTTGATCAGGAGTACAATCATGTACTTTTTGTTTTATACGCACTAATAAGCACCTTTTGAGTAGGTTGCATAATTCACTGGAATATTCTCTTCTTCCTCTTCAAAACAACTAACAAGTAGCAACCAAGCACCACACCAGTTACAAGTTCTGCATAAGAAAATTCGTAGGTTTACAAAATTCAGAAGTAAAATAAGTTACAAAATTGTATGTAGTCATTAGATTTATGGGATTTGCATTTATTATTTCACATGACACAAGAAAGTTTCCTACACACAACATTTTGTGGGACCCATACATTTTGAAGCAAAAAAAAAAAAAAAACTACGGCACGCAAAACGAATCTCTATAACATTACAGAATCACTTTTCCTATAACATAACTCTTATAAAACCCTAGATTTATTTATATGAATGGATGCAAAAGAAACTAATGTAACTCACCCATACATAATTTATTTATGGATTCGTTTTTTCTGCCGTAAGCCCAATACGACGTCATTTTGGGCGAAAATCATTGTGTTTTTGTAATTTTAATTTATTTCAGAGTTATAATAGTCTTTATATTTATAATTTTTTAAGATTTCAATACCAAAACGATGTCGTTTTGAGAATAAATGCAGATAACTTATCTGTATTAATTGCAGAAATATTTTTCCCTTTATTTATATATGAAAGTTTATATTTTTATCATCTTAATTGTTGGCATAACTTTTTTTTCACTTCTCATAAATATGTTAAGAATTCAAGTGTGAGTGACAAAAAAGTCTCACGTCGGATACCAAAAAAAAAAAAGAGTCTCATGTCAAGAAGGAACGGGTTAAGTATAATAATACCGAAAAATATTTTTATTAAAACTTGTAAAACAAAGAAATATGTCTTCCTCAACAAACAAACAAAAAGTGAAAATGCTTTAAGAAAAATATTAATTTTCTATACTAAACACATGAATATATATATGTATGTGTCTTCCTAATTTGCTGTTGCGTGTCTATTCCTAATTTTATGGAGGAGAGAGAAGATAAAAAATCACGTGTTCACCAAAAAATATCAAATATACACAAAAACGATATCATTTAAAATGACACAAAATTATATTATTTAAAATGACAAATGATTTTTCAACAACACATAGAAAGTTTGGATCCACATACAGATCCTAGTGTAAATATATTTACTCCAAAAAATTTCATATAGCAAAAGTGGATATATACAGGACGTGATCAACTTCAAACCAGTGTAAAGATGTAAAGAACCTTTCAATACGCTCCCCAAAAGCTAGCTCAAAGGGTGGAAGTGTCCAAGATCTTATAAAGGCCACATTAGTTGTCCACACAATCAATGTGAGACTATATATCTCAACACGCTCCCTCACACGAGAGCTCTTTGGGCTAGAAGTGTGGATATTACATAGGCCCAATTTTTTGGTTTACCTTTTTGTGCTTTAAATTTAATTTCACTTTAAAGTGAGAGGCAGTGAGGATCGAACTTGTGATTTTGTAATCACTCAAGCTTGATACCATGTAAAGAACCTTGGGATACACCACCCCAAAAGTTAACTCAAAGGGTGAGAGTGACCAAGACCTTATAATTGTCACATTAGTTGTCCACAGAATTAATACGAGATTATATATCTCAATAAAAGAGAACCTACCTTTTGGTCCATCCCCGTACACGAACAATCAAGTATCCTGGTACAATTGTGGTACCAGACATTCACACTTGTGGTACTAGGCATTTACACGAAGTCACTGGGTTTTGTGGACACTAGGCCTTGTACGTTGATTCTCTGAGTGTGATCTCGAGTACATATATGTTAAAAGAGTTGGGTACAATGAGGATATATAGCTGAGCAGATTTTAAAGAAAATTGTAACTAGCTAGGCCTAGTTTACAGGTTTAGGTGCGTGAGTTTCTTGGAGTGCAAAGCATCTTATTGTAGTTAATGGAAGGATCCTTACTTGTGAGAAAAGGAGCATGGGGTAAAGTGGAAGATGACCTTCTTAGGGCATGTGTGCAACAATACGGGGAAGGAAAATGGCACCTAGTTCCTGCAAGAGCAGGTATATAATATTGCTTTTGTGATACTAATGGCTCATTAATTGTAAGATTACCGAGAAATAGTTATTTTAGAGAAACACAATTTTTTTTTCTTTTTCTTTCTTTTGCTTTTCGTTAATTTTCGTTGCCCTTGGCAAAGGTCCTTGCACCACTTGTGCTGTGGTTATAGCAGCACATGATCATATGTTTAGTTGTATATATGTTGTTGAATTTTGTAGGCTTGAACAGATGCCGCAAAAGCTGCAGATTGCGGTGGTTGAATTATCTAAAACCAAATATCAAGCGAGGAGGGTTCACTGAGGACGAAATTGATATGATGACAAGATTGCACAGACTTTTGGGAAACAGGTTGACTTCTACACGTTACTATTTATATGTATTCAGATTATTTTTGACAAGAATATGTATAAAAGGAAGCCAGAGGGATTGATCTAATGATAAAGATTTTGAGTAGTTTGTACGAGTTCATATGTTTAAATATTAGCGCCACTATTATATCCAAAAACAATATGTATAAAAGGCAAAGATCACTCCACAAGACTCCCGATGTAAGGGTCGGGACGAGAGTCTATTGTATGCAATCTTATTCTTATAATTTTGTAAGTAGGTTATTTCCTATACTCGAACTCGTGACTTTTTAAACACATAAAATAATTTTATCACCCATTCAAGGTATATTCTTGTCTTCTGACAAGAATACATATATCCGTCCTTATTTATTTATTTATATATCCAAGCCGATTTAATCTAATTTGAGTACTATCAGACTAATAGTGGGGTTGGCTCTAGTAATACTATTTTCTCCATTCCTAATACTTGGACTTCAAATCTCTAGTTTAGGGAAATGAACTTGTTACCACTTGAACCAATAGTTGTGAGTATTTATGTCATTATTATAACCGTCAACTTTAAGTAGTCTTTCATTAACAAAATAGTTTGTGAATGTAGATGGTCCCTGATTGCTGGAAGGCTTCCTGGAAGAACTCCTAACGATGTGAAAAACTACTGGAATACCTATATTCGAAGGAGGGTATCCTCTCATAAGGAAGATATCAATGCAAAGCCTAAGGAAATAGTGAAACCTCATCTTGTGATAAAGCCTCAACCTCTAACTTTCTCTAGAACTTCGCCCTGGTTGACAAAGAGATTCATTAGCGAAGATCAAAGCAAGGCCAAAGAGTGCAGTATCCAAGCACATGGACAAAACGACAAGGGAGACAATACCGACAACAAATGCAATAATTGTCGGGATCATTGGTGGGAAACAGTGATGGACGACAAGGGAGGCAATGCAGAGAACGACAAATGCTGCTTGGGTGACAAAGATGGGAAGCTCATGAAAGACCCTAATTGGAATGAGGAGCTTTCTTCATTGACCATAGATGCTGGGGACTTTCTTATAGAAGATCAATGTTGGAGTGATTTTCTTCTTGATGTCAATTTGTGGGATTCATGATTTTAAATGTACGAGTTTTTAATTAATAAGCTATTTAGGAGAGTGATAATAGCGACGAGTATGACATTTTTGCATTACATCATAAATTTAAACTTCGTATGACCAGGGCCGGGGCTAAGAGAGTGACTGCGATAACTGAATTTGATAAAATATCTTAATTCAAATAGTTTTATTAATATCATGTTAAAAGAAATAAGTTATCTCATGTCATAGACATAAATTTGTGAGTTCCACCACTTGAAAAATAAAAATAAAAATTGTGACACAGTTATCGAAAGATATGTGTATGAGAAAAAACTTATATCATGTAGCATGAGAATAATTTTTCCCTAATTCAAAATATCAATGTTATCAATCTAGAAAAGTTCATCGACTCAGTTGGTTACTGGTTCAATTGGTCATTACTTCAACCACATGAATTAAATATATATAATGAAATATAATAAATATAAAATTAGAAGCATCTTAGCTAATAATTAAAGTTAGATTAGCAGTGTTTACAGGAAAAAAAAGAGTTAGATTAATAGCAAGTGGAATAAGTTATAATCTACATGATTTAAGTTCAAATGTCATTAGTGGTATATCTCAAGTATTTTGTTAAAAATTTCAAAATCGATTTTTCTAAAAAAAATCGATGCCAGTTTAATACTAGTTGAACCCAATTCCAAATTAGTTCATCAATTTCATACCAGATCAAATACATAACCAGTTCAAAACCTACATCAAACAATTTGGAGGTCAAAATTACGGATCAACCGGTCAAACATACTGCAAAATATTGTGACAGAGTTTAGAAATCTTTTTCAAGTATTTGGTCCTGGCTTCAATCATTTCTAATTAATATGATACTTTTCACTCATAATTAAATTTCATTTTCAATATTCTACTCTTAAATGTCACATCAACATTGGTTTCATTATTAATGAAAATAAATAAATATTTTATTATATCAAGTGACAGGTCCTTCATCACTCAAATCTGCTCTACTCGTCAGGAGATTCAGGTAATCAAGCATCAATCAATAGTAAATTTTAACATGATCTAAGATCACGACGGTCCTTTCATTAAAAAAATGATATTTATATTATTTTTTTTTTTTTCTTTTCTTTTTTCTCTTCTCAATTTCTCTTTCACTCTCTATCTTCCATCCCACCCAATCCCTTGTGAGCCGGGAGCTTTAAATTTCATCTCCCAATCAACAGACATAAGAATCATTCATTTTCATCAATTTGACTGGTTGTTGAATTAGTCAATTCTCACGTGGGACATCTCCGCATGTGCAAAAGGAAAAACTAGAGTTAAGAGGTGTTGTTCCCCGTAGTGCTTTTTCGCCGCTTCACTCAACTCTTGCAGCTTGTACTCAGGTACGAGAGGTAAATTTTTACAATACACCCGTTGTTATGAGTATTTGTGATCTGGATTATATTACTTGTGAAAATAAAAATCATCTGATTCAATTCTTTCGATTTAATAATATAATAATTTATTTAATTTGAATTTTTTTTTAAAACTGATCCGATCCAATCTAATTTTATTTGATTTAGATTGGATTGGATCAATTTTTGGTTTTTTAAAAAGACTAAAATTTGTATGATGATTATTATGCAAATACCATATCTTTTATATGTATTGGCTTTATAAAGTTTATATGATGATTATTGTACAATCTAGAAATATCAGTAAACGATAATCTAATATTCAATATAGTACAACAAAAAGTTGAATTACCATTTTTATTTCTAACAAAAAATTTACAATGTGTTTGCCTGGGATATGAAGTATCCCAAATTTTCATCCTATAGAGGAGCTGTTGTATAACAATAACCCATGCAATAAAAATATATAATGTATCTTATTCAAAAAAAGCAGAATATAGATCAAGCACAACTCACTTTCTCCAACATGATGGGTTAATCGGTTTTGGTTTAAATTTTTGCTATATAATTTTTGGGTTATGATTGGGGAAAGGTCCAAGTAGGTAGAAGGTAAGGTTGGTGAATCGTTGGATCAGTTTGAATTGGATCCGTTTTCACCAACCAAATCGAAAATCTATCAAATCCAATTAAATTTTGCGGTTTTTTTATTTTTTGATTTTTCAGTTTTCAATTATTTCGGTTAATAATTTTTTGGTTTGGTCACTGTTAGTCTTAATTTATACTTAATTTAGTGGTAAGTTTCTTATGTTTTATGGGCTGAATGGTGTTAAAATGCAGGTAAAAGTGGGCCAAAATTAAAGGAGTAAGCCCAAGTTGGTAAAAAGGGGTAGGAAAAGAGAATTTAACTTTTCACTAATTATTTTCATTTTTTTACCACAGAAAATGATACATGGCAAGAGAAGATGAAAGAAAAAGATGAGATGGAAGATTGAAGGCTGTTGGATGCTCCTTGGATCTAAGGAACGGAATCAACTTGAAGTTTTAACCAAAGAAGAGTCAGAGTCTTCGTTAAAAAGAAAGGAAAAAAACTCAGAACTGAGAAGAGAGATTTTTTGGCGAATGCACAAGGAAGAACACCACTCTTGAAGGGATTCAAGAAGACCAACTTTCAGTGCAACTCGTGGTTTTATTTCTCTGTTCTTAAGCTTTTCATAGTATTGCATTTTGATTTCGTGAAGAACCTTATCGGTCTATTACCTTCTACTTTTACTATTTCTTTCCTTTGAGAATAAAAATCATGTTTACTGTTAATTCAGATTTCATTTTTGCTTTATTTTTCAACATGCATTGCTAAATCCTTTTTCTGGAATTCTGATGGAGATGATGAGTACCCATTAATAATCTGAACTGTTGTGCATGTGCTTGATGTTTGAGTAGTGAATATTTCTTGGTTTAAGTTCCACGGAAATGGGCTTAAAGATTCTTGCATGAACTTATATTGGGAAATTTGAGTTTATGTTTTTCATTAATTCAAGTTTTCAAGATTAGGAATAATCTAGGAAAGAAAATGATTACAAGTCATCAGTAAAATGATTCAAGATTAAGGGATTAATTTGAATCATTTCACAAACTGAATTTGGGAAAGTTTAGTGAGGTTCTACAAAAAGTCATATTCCATCAATTATAGGTGCTACAACAGTTAAAACGCAGACATGCAATTTTCAGGGAAAATTCATTGAAGTCATAATTCTAGATTTTTAATATTGATTCTAAACTCATTTAAATCTGTTCTTACTATTCTTCCTTAGTTTGCATTTTAGAAAATACAGTTTTCATTGAAAAAGAATAACCGAAAGAAATTGAATTTCCCGTTCCCAGAGAACGATACTTGAAATTTTTGAATTCTATACTTTTTTTACATAAATATCCAAACAACAAAATGGCGCCGTTGCCGGGGAACGGTGTTTGATTTAGTTTCTTTTTGATATTCTGTCTTTAGGTTCTTGAATTTGAGTTTTTTTTATTCTTCTTCTTTTTAATTTCTGTTAAACTCATACGTTTGTTGTAAAGTTTGCAGAAATAAATTGTAAAAAAAAAAAAAAGTAGTGACAAGTCTGTTCTGCCAATTTTGAAGAAAAGAAAGGTTTGGTTGTTGAGCACTACAAAAGGGAAGCACAATGGCATGGGAAAATGGATTTTATGATGCAAGTTTCATACATGAAGTCGATGAAACAACTTCATTTGCAGCTCAACTTGCTACCTTAAATGAAACTATAGAAAATCTTGCCAAAGTGGTGGTGGAAGAAAGGCAACCAGCACCTGCTCCAATAGCTGCTACAGCACTTATCTGCTCCTTGTGCTATGAACTTTCAAAGAATGCCCCAACAACCCAACATCTATCCTTTATATGGGAGACTTCAACCGAAATTATAACAACTACAACCAGTTCAATCATCAGATATGGCAGAATCAAGGAGGTGATTTTGCTCAAAATCAAGGGCAAAATTACCAACAACCTTATCAAGTATGTACTACAACACTTGTCTGCTCCTTGTGTTATGGTCCCCATGTGTTTGAGGAATGCCCCAAAAATCCAACATCAGTTCTCTATGTGGGTGATTTCAACTGTAACTACAACAACCAAAACCACTTTAATCAACAAGGATGGCAACAATCATTCCAGCTTGAGGAGCCATTTCCACATGGTTTTATGTCATTTCAACCTGAGGTGTCATTCCCACCTAGTTACATGCAGCCCCCTCCTACTGACCAGCAGAAGCCAAACAATGTTGAAGTTCAACCTTCCATTAAGCAGTGGATGAAAAAATACATAGTAAAAAATAACCAAGTGGAGGATACAGTTTCAGCCCTCCTCGAAATTAATAGAGCTACGTTGAGAAGCATAGAAACTCAATTAGGGGAGCTAGTTTCAGCCATTAGCAATATACCTTTAGTAGCACTCTCAAGTGATACTGAAATACGAAGAAGAGAAAGAGAGGGAGCTAGTAAAACCCCCCATTTAAGGAGTGGCAGAGAAGTGGATCATCTAAAGCCTGTTATAAGGCCATCTTCCTTGAAGAAATTAATGGAGAAGGAAGAGCAACAAGTGGTTAACACTGTTACAGCTGAACCATTAACCATTCAATCTACATCTCAAGAGGAATATAAGGAAGAAGACACCTCTGTTAAACCAGTAAGGGCAGTTCTGAAATCAAAGACACCAGACAAGTTAGTGCAGAACAATGAAGCTCCTCAACTAATATCAAGGGCAAGACAATTGTTTTTTCCTAAAAAATTCCAAAAACAGCAAGCAGAGCACTACCTCTCTAACAAATTGCCTCCAAAGCTGGAAATTTCAGGTTCTTTTACAATTTCATGTGCAATAGGAGATAGGAATATTGTCCCTAAAGGAAAAATAGAGAACATATTAGTGAAAGTTTATAGGTTTATTTTTCCAGCACATTTCATAATACTTGATTTTGAAGCTGACAGCAAGGATGTGCCTATTATATTCGATAGGCCATTCTTAGTTAAAGAGGATGCTATTATTGATGTTAAAACAGGTGAATTGAATGTGAGGGTCAATGAGAAAAATATGGCATTTAAGGTCTTGAATGCCATGAA